ACAGCCCAAACAGTAGATGGAGCCCATCACCTTCACGGAGGCCGACTGCATAGGCATCCGTTACTCTCATGACGACCCTCTCGTCATCTCTGTCCTCTTCTCCAACTACAAAGTCAGACAGGTTCTCGTCAACAATGGCAATTCTTCCAACATCATCTTCCTAAATGTCTTTCACCAACTCAAGATCGAGGAGGAAAGTTTGTCTCCTCTCCAAACCCCGTTGGTCGGTTTTACTGGAGATCGGGTGATCTCCATCGGCTCCATTGATCTTCCCATCACAATCGGCGAATACCCGCGACAGACCACAAAGTTACTCACCTTCCTTGTTGTCAACTGCCCCTCTGCTTACAACATCATCCTTGGCCGCACCGCCCTAAATGCCTTCCAAGCTATCACATCCACTTTCCATCTTGCCATCAAGTTCCCCACCAATCTTGGGGTCGGCACAGCGAGGGGAGAGCAGACCGTGGCTAGAGAATGTTATGTCGCCTCACTTAAAGAGGTCAAACTCAAGAAGGCTATGATCATTGAAGGACTCGACGTCAGAGATGAGGATGAGCTGGTTAGAGGGGAACCAGTGGAAGAGCTTGTCGAGGTCCTCATCGATCTCACAAACCCAGCAAAAACTGCCAAGATCGGCAGCCAACTATCCCTCCAGGCCAAGGCCAACCTCACCGCCCTCCTGATTAAACACAACGATGTATTTGCCTGGACCCATTCCGATATGCCGGGTATTGACCCCTCTTTCATCACCCATCGTCTCAGCATCGAACCCCATTTCCGACTCTTCCGCCAGAAGCAGCGCATCTTTCATCCGGAGCGCAATACTCTTATCGCTGCTGAAGTAAATAAGCTCATTGAGGCACAATTTATCAAAAACGTGGATTACCCCAAATGGCTGTCAAACGTGGTCCTGGTCCGTAAGAACAACGGTAAATGACGACTCTGTGTCGACTACTCCAACCTCAACCGAGCTTGCCCTAAGGACAGTTATCCCCTTCCTCGCATAGATCTACTTGATGACGCCACGGTCGGCCATCAAATGCTTAGCTTTATGGATGCCTTCTCTGGGGATAACCAAATTCTGATGCACCCGTCTAACCGGGAACACACCTCCTTCATCACCGACTGGGGAACCTACCATTACCGTGTCATGCCATTTGGGTTGAAAAATGCTGAAGCCACTTACTAACGGTTGGTCAATGCCGTCTTTCATCATCAGATAGGCCGGAACATAGAAGTATATGTCGATGACATGCTAGTCAAAAAAAAACTCTCCACTGATCATCTGGCCGACCTACGAGTGACATTCAGCACCCTACGGAAGTATCAAATGAAGCTCAATCCAGAGAAATGCGCCTTCGGCATAGGATCTGGGAAATTCTTGGGTTTTATGGTCAGTCAGCGAGGCATCGAAGCTAACCCCGAAAAGATCAAGGCTCTGATAGAAATGCAGTCACCCTGAACAGTTAAGGAAGTTCAAAGGCTTACTGGCAGAGTCGCCGTCGTCAACCGCTTCATTTCCCGTGCAACGGACAAGTGCCTCCCCTCCTTCAAAGTTCTTCGGTAGACTTTCGAGTGGATGACCGAATCCGAAGAAGCCTTCCAATAGTTGAAGCAGTGCATGGAAAACCCGCCCTAACTCTCCTAAGCACTCACAGGCGAGCCTCTTTTTCTTTATCTAGTCGTCTCGAGCACCACAGTCAGTGCAGCCCTCATCAAGGAGGATGGTTCAGTATAGCGCCCGGTTTACTACATTAGCCGGGCTCTTAGAGGCGCCGAACAGAACTACCCGTTGCTAGAAAAAATGTCCTTGTCTCTGGTCACCGCCTTAACACAACTCCGTCCTTACTTCCAAGCTCACTCCATAATGGTCCTTACTGATTAACCTTTAAAGAAGGTAATGCAACAGCCCGACCTGTCTGGTAGACTCATGCAATGGTCGGTCGAGATCAGCCAATTTGACATCTCCTACCGACCTCGAACGACGATCAAGGGGCAAGCTGTTGTCGATTTCATCCTGAAATTCACTAATCCCACTATGCCCGCTGTTTTACCGCCCCCCCAAGCCCCAGACTGAGGCAGAAGACCCCCATTCTTAGACCGTCAACGCCGACAGATCATCCCACAAAGAAGGCAATGGGGCTGGTCTCATCCTCACTGCCCCCGAAGCTGGTTCTTTCAAGTGTGCTTTTCGATTCTTGTTCGATGCAAGCAATAATGAGGTAGAATATGAGGCATTGATAGTAGGTCTCTGCCTAGCCAGAGACATTGGTGTCAGCTATATCCAGGTGTTCAGTGATTCCCAGCTTATTGTCGGACAAATTACGGGAAAATTCGATGCCAATGAAGACATAATGCGGGCTTACAGAGATACTGTACTCCCTCTTGCTCTCCACTTCAATACTTTCCACATCAAGCACATCCCTCGGGCGGAAACTCCAAGGCAGATGAGATGGCTCAATTAGCTTCTGCAGACCAATCAGACCTCAGCCACGATGTCCGTTCGAGTACCTAACCCACCTTACCATTTCCCCAAACCAGCAGGAAGTCCACTTCCTCCAAAATGAACCTATCCCATGGACGGCCGACATCTTTCTATTTTTGACAACGGGGGAACTGCCAGATGACAAACAGCAGGCCGCCAAAGTCAGGGCTCGGTCGTCCAATTACATTCTTGTCAACGGCCTCTTGTACAAACGTGGCTTTTCACGCCCATATCTGCGATGCCTCAATCTAGCTCAAGCGACCTACGTGATGAGGGAAGTCCATGAGGGTATATGTGGTAATCATTCGGGCGCCAGGTCACTAGCCCACAAAATATTTCGCACTGGTTATTTCTGGCCTACTCTCAACCAAGATGTGACTGACTTGGCGCTTAAATGTGATAAATGTCAACATTTTGTCAACATCCCTCATGTTCCTCCTACAGAATTGATCACACTTTGCAGTCCTTACCCATTCGCCAAATGGGGGATCGACCTAGTTGGCCCATTGCCCGCTAGACGAGGCCAAACCAAATTCACAATCGTCCCCATTGATTATTTCACTAAATGGGTGGAGGCGGAACCCCTTGCCACAATTATCGAGCGGAACACAACAAGATTCATCTAGCAGTCGATCGTGTGCCGATTTGGCATCCCTCAAGCCATCGTCTCCGACAACGGCAAACAATTTGACAATGCCAAGTTCAGGAAATTCTGTGCAGAACGTCAAATTCAGCCATGTTTCTCCTCCCTAGGTCATCCCCAAGCCAATGACCAAGTAGAGGTTACCAACCGTTCTCTTCTGAAGATCATCAAAACTAAGCTGGAAGCTGCTAAGGGACTCTAGGCTGAGGAATTACCAAATGTACTCTGGGCCTACCGCACTACCGCTTGAACCCCCACTGGAGAGACCGCTTTTCGATTAACATATGGCGCTGAGGCAGTCATCCCAGTGGAAATCGGTCTCCCTACACCGAGGGTTCTACACCTGAATCAAGAACTAACCGAAGAGCTATGTCGGGCAGACCTAGACCTAATTGAAGAGCTTCGAGAGACCACTGTTGTCAGGTGGGCCTCATACCAACAGAGAATGAGAACACACTACAACCGCAAAGTCCGACTGAGGGAGTTCGCTGTGGGGGACCTTGTTTTGCGTGAAGCAACCCTTGCCACCAAAAATCCGACCGAGGGCAAGCTGGCAGCCAAGTGAGAGGGACCTTACGTTGTTAAAGCCAAACCTCGTCCAGGTACTTACCGACTTCAGGACATAGAGGGCCGAGACCTCCCCTATCTATGGAACGCCGAGCACTTGAAGTGTTATTTTCAATAAAAGTTCAATTTTTGTATCAATCTTTTATTGTATTTCCTCTTTGACAATCTACGCACTTGAATGTTCTTATTCTCTTCTCATATGATGTAAATCTCTAATCAAATGGGTTACACTTTAATGACAAACAATCTTATTTCTCAGTTAATCTCTGTGGCATTCCTATAACATCCTGATTGCAACACTCAGCCAGACTGAGTTACTTAAAGCCTCAGCCAGACTAAGCATGAAGGGCTTAGCCAGACTGAGTTACTCAGAGCCTCAGCCAGACTGAGCACGAAAGGCTCAGCCACACTGAGTTACTCAAAACCTCAGCCAGACTGAGCACGAAGGGCTCAGCCAGACTGAGTTACTTAAAGCTTCAGCCAGACTAAGCACGAAAGGCTCAGCCAGACTGAGTTACTCAAAGCCTCAGCCAGACTGAGTTACTTAAAGCCTCAGCCAGACTGAGCACGAATGACTCAGCCAAACCAAATTACTTAAAGCCTCAGCTAGCCTGAGCACAAAGGGCTCAGCCAGACTGGGTTAATTATGGCTCAAGCATTCTTACCACTTCATGTTTGTAGCATAGTTTCCATACTTGGTCAAGTTCTAGGTCAATGCGTTCACACCTCTTAACATTCTTTACATTTTTTAACTTTCATTTGCCAACGGTTTAACATTTCAAGACTGTCATATTTTGAGACATTTTCACTCTCACATTTTCTCAATACTTTGACCACATGACTTAACACTTCAAAATTCTCATATTTTAACTCTCATAGTTTCAGAATAACCATTCTCATTCTTTTCAGCTTTACAAAGACAAAGGCCACAGTGTGACAAACACAACTCATAATTTTATTTATTCACAAACTTATACATAAGTTTACTACAGAAGTCACAAAAAAATAAATAAATAAATAAATAAAAAAACCAACAACAACAACAACAACAAAAAACAAAGCAACAACAAAAATTTTATTTACAAACAATGCGCAAAAATTTTACATTCATCATTCCTTCTCACTCGAAACAAGATCTTCTTCGTCAACACCTTCATCTAAGGGGGTCTGGGCCACATCGTCTTCCTCTACTCTAACAGTATTGAAGTCCAAGTCTGGGAACAGCTCTTCAGCCTTTCGCTTGAAAGTTTTCCAACCGCTGTCCCAGAACTCAGCCATTTCATGTTTGTAAAAGTCCGACCGTTAGAAGCTTCGGATCACTTCTTCTTTACTCCTGCTCCCAGCGGTCGCTCCAGACGGGTCAGCCCCCCCCGACCCCTCTCTTGCCAAGTTGCTGGCGATTGCGGCTTTAATGGCCATTTGGAAGTCGGCGGACCCCTGGAACTGCTTAACCGCTGCAACACATAGGTCAGGGTACACCACTCTCTCAGATGCCAGTTTCGCCCTCTCTTCCTCCAAGGCCTTCTCCAGCCCCGTCTTCTCTGCCGCTGCCTTGGCGCGCTCGTCTGCCAGACCTTTCTCCAACCCAACGATCTTCAAATCTGCTTCTTCCTTTTCTTTGATCGACTAGGCGTGCAGATCCTCGTTACAGGCCATCGCCTCGTCCCACCGTTCGTTGGCGACGGTGCAGGCCTTCTGCGCCTTTTCCAACTTCTTCTACTCGCCGACCAGCTGGAATTCGAGCGACACCACCTTGCGGCGTTCCGTCTCCAACTTTAACTTGGTCGCGAGCAGCTTAGCATGGGCACGGTCAGCAACATTCCTCTGCACCGTCGCCAACACCTCCATTTTCTTCGCCTTCTGGGCCTCTTCCAGCTCCCTAACAGATGCAATCCGCGCGCTCTTCCTCCACCCTGCAGTCTCCATCCTCAAATTTTCAAGCTGGGCCTTCACCTCCTCCAACTTCGCCTTCAATGGCTCAGTTTCGCCCTTTGCGTACGCCGCTTTCCTCAGTAAGGCTCCTGCTAAGGTCGTCGCCTCTATCTAGGCAAAACACAACCCCCTTAGCAGTTCGGCCTCAGTGAAACTGGCCATTAAGCGCACGGCTGCCTCTTCCACTACCCCCAAAAAACGATCTACAGCTGTCCTGGCTGGGCCTCCTTCTCCCTCCAGTCGCCCAAACACTGCTGGAGCATGGTAGATGGCAGTCTTCAGCTTGACCCTTTCTCCTTGGGGCGCAGGATCCCCCTTGGGCTGCCGTTCCACCCCATCCTCAGGGCTAGTTGACCCACTTTCCACTTGCATCTTGGGGCCCATGGCACTCATGTGCTCTTCTTCCTCTTGGGCCCCTTGACCTTTGTCCCACTGCTCCTCTAGGATAACCACCCCTTCTGGAGTAGCCCCCACTCCCCTCTTCTCTGCCTTCTCTGTTATGGGGGTGTCCACCTCACCAACCCTCATCTTCTTCGAACCGAGTGCATCTGTAGCCCCCTCAGTGGCAACCCTTATCTTCTTCGACCTCTTCAGTCCCACCTTCACCTCTCGTCTGCCCCTTTCCTTCAAGGGGTCTATGGGTTGTCGCAATGGGGCAAACTCACTCAGGTTCTTATCACCCAAAGGCTTCGGGCTAGGTCAAATCCTCTCCCTCATTACCACCTTTGGAGCAGGACCCGAATTTGCCTCTTTATACTTGTCTGCTCAGGCGAACAATCTCCTTTTCTCCTCCACCTTCCTCTGCATCTCTAGCTCCTTCCTTGCTGGGTCCTTCCCCAACGGTTGCGGTCCCAATTTCAGGGCGAACAATGTTGAAGGCAGGACCAGCTCATCCCATCTCACCCCTTTCTCTTCCCTCCATTCCCTCGCATTCTTCACTCGGTCTTCGACCTCCCCGCCCAACTTAGGCTCGACTGATTTGGCAGGGACCCTCCACATTGTACGAACCCCAGCTCCACCGTTCGCCATCACAAAGAACCATCTCGGCCTCCACCCCTTCACCGAAGATGGAAGACCCGCCACCAGCCCCTGCCCTGCCACTGCTTGCAGAGTCACCTAGGTCTCCTGCTGACTGGAGGCCTTGTAGTAGAAGAAAAACTCATCTACTGACATTGTCGTCCCCCCAGTTGTCTGCAGCCAGGCACTCCTGTACGCCATTATTATCTTCCAAGCGTTCGGCATCAGTTGCCCTGGCACTGCTTCTAACTTGTTTAACACACCCACCACTACTTGGGGGAGAGGTAGCCTCAAACCCCCTCGCAACGCCTCCTCGTACAAGCTGAACTCCCTCGACCGCACATCCGACACCCTTTCCTTGGACGTGGGCAATCTTAACCCTATCTCCGAGGGAATCTGGTACTTCCTCCTTATTCCCTTCAACTCCTCCTCCGTAAGCGTAGATCTGTCCGGCTTGGTGTGCCAGTAGTCTGGCTCCACCTGGCTAATAAGTTTCGCGGCTGCAATCATCGTCCTTGGACGAGCCCGTACCGCCTTACCGACTCCCCCTCCTTCCCTACGCTCCGTATGATACTGCTCCGCCAAATCTACCGCATCATCGTCGCCGAATGGATCAACCTTTGCGGTTGTTGCTTCCTCTTGGGCCATCTCTCTTGTGTGTTTGCGAATAGCTTCAGATGCCGGTGCGAGATAGTTCACAAAATGTTGCAACGGTGTATCACTCGACACGAAGGAGTTTACACTTGGAATATTTTGGTTGTTTGCAAAGAGATACGTAAAACGGATAATACCAAAAGCCCAAGGTTTGCCTATATTCCAAAGGTCACAATTAAATTTTGCTAGTTTGAAAATTTTCAAAAATCCGCCAAAACTGTCTTTTCAACACCCTATATTGACCTATCGTTTCATTTCTTGCTCAACACCTAACCTTCTCCATCATGGGATTCCGTCACGTGTACGCCTACGATCCACTGCCCCATTCCCCTACCCTGTCTTTTCCACTTCAAATCACCACGTGCCTTGCTACTTCTCGAGCCCCGCGCACCGCCACTTGTCCCTCCTCATGGTTACCCTCTCCACTCGATCACCCTTCGCGGTCGAACCTCCTCATGGTCGACCTCTCCACTCGATCACCCTTCGCGGTCGGCCCTCCTCATGGTCGGCCTCTCCACTCGGTCACCCTTCGCGGTTGAACCTCCTCATGGTTGACCCCTCTACTCGGTCACCCTTCGCGGTCGGCCTTCCTCATGGTCGGTCTCTCTATTCGACCACCCGTCGCGGTTTGCCTTCCTCATAGTCGGCCCTTTCGCTTCGTCGGTCTCTAGCAACCATCATTCTCTTCATTATTCCCTTCGTTGGACTAAAGCTGCACTTGGGAATGGGAGACTACTGACATGGGTAGGCCCATAAAGGCTATAGCCCACTATGAACAACCCAAGCCCACTACTTAGGGTCCAATACATAATTTAACTGATGAGGCCCAACATGGCTAGAAGTCAACATGACATTAAGAACCAATGACACTCAGACACGTGGCAGGTGAAGGACAAGCCACATAAGCAGACAAAGATCCTGCAAAGTTATTACACTGCACATCAGCCATTAATGAAGTCCTTTGCAGCATTTATTGCGATAAGCCTTCCCCGTCGAGACAGAACGGCCTCACCATGAACAAGGAAAGTTAGAGCATAGACTTTTGGCCATGGCGATAGGTCGGAAGGGACAACGAAATGATTACCAGAGGATATAAGCAGACGTCGAAGAGAAGAAGAATGTTAAGTTTTCTATCTCTAATCTATCTCTACATTCCACCTCTTTTTCTAACTTGCTCGTCGGAGGGTTCACTGGGGGACTCCCCGCTCCCCGTTAAACTCTTGTGTAGGTTCCTCTGTGGGCTTGGTCACTCGGACACCGGTTTGGGAAGCGTGGATCAGTCCGACCCGTTCCATCTGGAACCCGCAGTATTATCATATAACATAAACTAATTTTTCATATGTATAACTACTAATTTGTAAGAAATTTCATAGCTTAAATCTCTCTCATCTTCATTTTTACTTTGATATTTTATTAGAGGTTAAAAAAATATATGTATTAATTATAGCAGAACAGAGTGGTTTCGAAGATGAATTATAAATTTTAAAGTTTAATCCACGGTTAGTGGATAGATCATCGTGAATCGGTGTGATTTTAGTGAATATTATTGTGTTTTGCGCAACCCTAGTTAGATTTGTAGAGCCGGACAAGAACTGAACCATAGAAACTGGTTCGGTTCAAATTGATTTTACGATTTTATATAATAATAAATATGATATATATTTTATATTAATAAATAAACTAATAATAATTAGCTTGGTTAGGTTATACGCTCTTACCTCACAAATAGAAGTGTATAAAAATGACAAAGTATTAGTTAATTTTATGTATTCAAAGCTTGTTACAAGAACCAATGATCTGTTGGTTCAGTGGTAACAGTGACAAAAAGTTTGTCTACCTCGCTTAACACCTAAGTTCAAGTCTTCTTCATATCGGATTATTAGGGTTACATCTACATCTTAATGTCCAGAATATGCTGAAATCTTAGTTTTAGCCCCAACATAGGTGCAGTGTTTGTTTCTACAGATGTTTGTAGGTATTAAGGGACAATGTTCTATGACAGATGTGTACAATAACTTATACATCCATTTTGAATACCAAAAAAAAAAATTGTTACAAGAAATATATGTTCCATCGAATTGAGCTCTTATCTATCAGTTTATTTCAAAAGCCAATTAATTCATCAATGAATCAATAGAAAAATGTAGATTTAAAATCATTTGACAACTTACTGTTTTAACTTAAAAGTCAAAAAGTTATTAAAAAAATTTAAAAGTCAATCACCTATATCAAAAAGTCAAATATTCTCTTTTCTATCTACTTTTTACACATCTTTTCATAAAAAATAAAAAAATCATTTTAAATATACTAATTTTTTTATTTCATATTTTAATCAAAAAATTAAAAAATTATTAAAATTATCTATTCCCAGAAATACCCCAACTAAAAATGATAAACATTATCCTCAATAAAAAAGCAAATTCACATCACTCAACCGCCCACGTACTTTACCCACCTGCCACCTACCCTCCCCTTTAAGCACCTCTAATTATGGTGTAAATAAAACAAAAAATAGTATAATGATATATATATATAAATACATAAAATTATATGAATTTTTTTTATCAAAATTTACACACAAAAAAAAAAATGAATAAATAAATAACATTGTTATATCATCCTCTCAGGCCTTTGGTCTCTCAAGTGTCTAATTAAAAAAAAAGAATTGTTTCAAATAGGCTTAATGTTATAATCTAATCAATTAATTTAATGGTCGTTTCTTTATTGTTCTATGTGGAAAATAGATTTTTTTTTTTTTTTTTACACAAATAGGATAATGGTAAATTAATAGTTGGATTACTATACAAATCGATGTCCTTACATATACTTGAACCTAATATCCTTCCAAAATCACTTGGGTACAACCCAGGTCATAAGTTTGACTGGTTAAAAAAAAAATTGCTGCGCGATAAATATTACAAATACATCTAACATAATTTATTGGTGTGGATACATATTTATCAATGGAAAATGCTTTGTAGCACTAAAAAAAAGTCCCCCTAATCCCCCTAATTTCCTTTTTGAGAAACTGTTTTTTCTTTTTTTTTTTCTGTCTTCTTTTTTTTTTTTTTTTTTTTACTAAAAAGGGAAATTGTGGGGATTCGGGGGACCCCATTCGGGGGACCAAGCACTGCCCTTTATCAATATGCATTTGGGGAGACTCACACTAATAAACTGCCTTAGATTTATTTGTTACAATGGCATATAACATTGAGACCTTGTTTGGTAAATATTTTGGGATTAAAAAGGTACAAAAGGATAAAATAGATTATATAAATTAATAAGATAAAATATCACATTCAAACTATAATCATTACTCTTTTTTCTCACAAAAGTTCAAAAAATTCAAAAATAAAAACCAAACGAAACTAAAAAAGTCCCAATATAAAGAAGTTGACCACCGTAACTAACGACAAACAAAGCTTGAATATAGTTTTTTTTAATTTGAGAGATAGTTAATTGCAGATGAAATCCCAAAGATTGCCAATGTTTAGGTAGCATTCGGTAGAGTATTAGAATTATGACTTGAGAATATAGTTATATTTTAAGTTTGTAAATTTTGGAATTATGATTTGAGTGTAAAAAAATTGTTTGGTTATGAGTTTTGAATTAAGTTTAAATTTTTTATGTGACATATGATAGTTGATTCAAAAACTTACAGCTCATAATCGAACATACAACTCAAAATTTTACTCAAAGCTCAAAAAAATTTTAAAAAATTTCAAAGATATTTTTTATTTAAAATATAAAAATAATAGGTGCAAAAATAAAATGAATACTGTTCCGGTCAACCGGTCAGACATTCGGAAGAATGACCAGATAAACGTATTGGCAGAAGTAGATGTGAAATTAATTTTTAAAAATTATAATCAAACACTACACTTAAATTAAAAAATAGAATTAAAGTTAAAAAATTCTACCAAACACAGCCTTAGATTCTGTAATTCAAATCGTGAACATGATTTCAATTCTATCATTTCTTAACAGGATCAACAGAATATCGCTGGGCTTGGCAGTCACTGGGGTGTATGTTTGCGAGAGAGAGAGAGAGAGAGAGAGAGACAAGTACTATGCATGCATGCACGAGACTACTATGAAAAACACACTTTTTGTACTGATTGTAAATCACTTTTTACTGATTGTGAAATGTGGACTAGAAAGTTCTTGTCCTCTTGCATTTTGGAACTGCACCTTTCTCTGTGTGCTCCACAATTATTGGCCCCACCCAAGGGCCAACTTGTGAAGAGATAACTCGGGGAGATGATCATATAATTATTCAGTAATTTCGTTCCATTTTATAGAGTTCATGGTGTTTTCAATCAATAAGGTAATAAGTTTGGGATAAATTAAAAAAGTTA